ATATAGTAAATGATTTAGTTGTGCGAGTCCTTAAATACATTCTCTCTTCATTTTACTATTTAAGATGTATAGTAAAATCTCAAGATGTTAGAAGTTGTTCGTTTAAAAAAAAGGGGGAATATATTTAATCTATATTATTACTGCAACATTTATGGAACAGGTTTTAATTTAACTTCATATATAAATTACTCTTATTGGCCAGGATTGGAGCGCGTAGTGGGTCTTAATGTGAGAGGAAAAAAGAGTACAGCAAATCTCACGTGGCCGAGCAGGTGACCTGCTCCTTTTTCACGTTCGATTGGGGATTAGAACAGTATTAGTGAAAGGTGAACTCGCTATCAAATTTGAGACCCGACCACCCTTAGAAGTTTAAATGGATAAAAGTTATCTTATTTACTCTTTTTATTATTCTTTATTACTTTTTTGCTTATAGATAAAGTAGGAGAATCGTTCTAAAATTTTCATAAATGTTATTTTGATACAAAGTTGGTTGGTATTGTGTTTAGTTATTGTGGTTAAACGGTCTCATCTACCGCTCCCTGTCAGATATACGTTTTTCGACGACTATCTCGAATTACGCAAGATTAATGTAATTAATAATAATTTGTCATACATGTATGTTATCCATCACACCGTAGACCAACCCACACCTATCAATTACGAGCATTTCGTCCCTTTCAAAGTAAATATTTACAACATTTATATATCAATGCATCAATTAAATTGAAATGAAATGAGGCACAATACTCGAAATCGAAACAAACATCTACGCCACAGTATGTGGTCCAATACAGTTTAACAATAACGACAGACTAGAGTCTGTGCTACAAAATAACTTGAGAAATAGCACAGATTTGATTCTCAATGGAAAAAAACCCATTTATTGTATGTTTAACCAGTACTCCTCTAAATTTTTAAATTCATTATCACAGTGTTTTACAAACCTGTCCTTATATTTCAACAGTAGCTTGGACAATTTGGATTTTGAACTTTTGGTCCCTAGATTCACCGATGAGTTCTAGGCGGACGAAAACGCTGTCTGTTGTATCATAATTCATACTTAACATACTGTATCTATTACCAGATTTTAAAGGTGTAAATCTTTAACTGACATCATAACTCAATTGGCATATATGAAGTATTTAAAGGATTGCATTGGGAATTAAATATAAAAATAGTCAATTTAAAACATTTTATTATCAACCTGTTTGTTTTAACCGTTTGTAAAAGTATGGATCTTTGATTATATATGAAGTTAACAATTTTAAAATTACATCCAGAATACGTGGTTTAAATTTTAATAAGCTAATAAATATGACTAGAAGAGAGGATATGTATTTTCACTTCAACATGTAACTCAAGTTTCAATATTTAGAACAAATACAATTTCTGTTGACCAATTCAGCCGTGTCGATTGCCTATACATTGTAGGAAACTGACAATCCAATTAGCAATTGACTAAGGAATGTTGGAAACGAATATTTTGTCGGATTCAACATTGAATGCTCAATATGAGATTACATTGGTATTATCTTCTACGACATTAGATTCGTTTCAATCTTATAAATCTTTCAATCAGACATCAGAATTTGCATTTTATTCTAAGAATTGTCTAAGGCCTTAATGCTTTCATCTAATCTACTTTGAAAAACATTTGATATTCAAAACTAAAATGAATATTTGTGAACTCAAAACGCTTATCTTAAAATAAAACACACACTAATTTGGAAATTGTCAGACGTTTTTTAAAAATTACGTTAGCAACTCTTTAGATAATCAAGCTTCCAGCAACTTATCTAATTTGCGTGAGACGTTAATAGCACAAAGGCAAAGTTAAGTAAATGTTAGTGATATTTTCTTGATGATTAGAACTAAAAGAACCCTAATAATGATATTGCAATATTTTTAACATTGATATGCGGGACTGATGCATCAATGCAAGCTACTCGTATTTTAAAACCTGTTTTGCAACTTTTGAATTTGAAAATGTCATTAAAAGAATATTGATTAATTTGTACTATAACGATTTAGATAAAATATCAATGTTTATATCTTTGTTTAAGGTGTATGGTTTAGTATGCCCCGATTGCATATTTTTAAGCGATATTTAGCTACTTCATTATGACGAATTTACAAAATGTGGAACCAAGTACAGAAGAGTATGATTGATCATTCATTGCAATAATTGAATCCAGGCAACATAAACCATTACAGGAAATAAATCCCCCAAACAAATTTCTTGCACTATTCATAAAAACTCACCTTTTTGCAAACTCTCCTCCAACTACATTTGTTTATCCATAACAAAATTTTCACTCAATTTCCGACATTTTAACTAGCTCGATTATGTTATACCTAGAGCTCCTCACCTGTTTGTACGAGTTTCCTCCTAAACACCACCCTCCATACACTATATGATCGTCTCACGTGTCTGCTTGTGTCTGGGGTTCGCTTGCCAGTTCCTGAATCTGACTCGCTATATACCGCCCCATTCGGCATTCGACACCGGAAGTCATTGCGTACCATAGCAACCAATCATATGGCTGATGTTTTCAATTCACGTGGTAACGGTGAGTGAAACCAAAGACTATATGAATCTATATTAACTTTCTATGACAATATGGATCAGCTTACAGAAATAATATTTGTCGAAGTGATACAAAGTGATATGAGAGTCAATCCCCGTGGCCAAACGTCGTTTGACATTAGCTATAAAAATGTAATGAGAAAACTCGTCTCAAATAAAGACCGATGACTGCTTTACGCTTGAAAAAGACGTTTTTTATTGTCATTATTTGAACATAACTCAAAGAAACTAGAACAAGCAAAAGGTGACGATAACCCCTTTGTCGCAGTTTTTGATCTATTGAATTGTGATATTATTAGGTAGGGACAATTATATTTCCAAAAAATAATTTGTATTTTTTATATTTTGTCTTACGATCGAAGGATCATAAATATGAAAAATAAGTCTGTAAAAAAACCCAGAAACAAATAAAAAAATAAAATAATAATGGATTTCGGAAACATTATGTCTCGTTAAATAACAATTAAACAGATACTGCACAGGAAACACTTAATGTCGTTTAAACTCATTCAAGGAATGAACATAAAATTGAGAATAAAAAATAAAGAAAAACAGAGTATTTGAATACGTCACAATCGAAAGAGTTACTGAGATTACAAACATCACAGTATAGGCCTTTTGAGGTAACAGTATTGATCTTGTTCCCCCATTGCAACACTCGCGACCTATATCTTGTCAGTTCGATCCTATCTGTTGTTTTGTTTGATTCTAGGCTTCCTAGAGACATCTGCCTTCATATGATGTAACGTGCAGTGGGGACACGAAAAACCCACCAAAAGTTTAAAGAGCTGTTAACCACCCTGCGTCTAGTCTCGTTAAGTTAAAGTTTGTATGCACGATTTCGCTCAGCTAATCCGCTTTTGTAATACTTACCTCCTAATGCGTCTGTGTTACACCGCGTGTCATATGATAAATATTTATAGAGTTTATATGTATCGATGCAATTATTTGTATCCGTTCTGTAATCATCGATTATCTCAATAATTATTATCTTTGAGAATGCTCATAATTCCTTTTTTAGGAGATATCGAGGTGTTTGTATGCCAATCTACCTAATTCTTAGTCACACAAATGCGTACATTCTAAATGTGATTTTGTTGGCATCCTTCTGCTATTAGATATTAAAGTGTACATGTTTTCATTTAACGCATTTACCTTATATTCAATTAAATGTACAATATTTGATGATTAAGCAGTATTAGTAGTATTTATCATTAAAGCAGATTATTTATGCATGACTTAATTTCAGAACATCTTGGAGTGGTCAATTGTCCAGTGTATTGTGTGAAAAAAACCAACCAATGTATAATTTTCTCAGATAAGTACTTCTGATTTGATAAGCATAACTAAGAACATACAAGACTGGTTATCTATGCCACATTCATGCATGATATAAATATATACCATCCTGTCGTTTTTATTTATTCCAATGTACAGCCTATCCACTTTTTGTATGGAAAAGATCTACCAGGTCTGTAGCGCTAACTTACCTGTTCCCTTTACTACCTAGGAGTTTCAACTCTGGTGACAATCTCAGACTTTTTTTTGCCTCGCAAAAATCAAATGAAATTACTAGAGAAAGACACTGACAAAAAAATCTAAATTTTAGTAAAATCTGATCCGGTAGAGTTGAAATATTTTGAAAATGTATCAACCAATCGGGAGAGAGGATGGTGATTTTTTATTTACTTTTGAAATAACATGAAATACATAGGAAACTAATCAACAACTTAAGAAATTAATAAACAGGATTGGTTTTAATTTAACTGATGGAAGTTAAATAGTGGAAAAAGGTTTAAGAAAATCAGATTCAACTACAAGTGGCCATTCATCATCGTGTATGGGTCCAAACTACCTTTTATTTCCTAGCGCCTTGCTTGGCTACACCTCACTTTTGGCTTTAATGTTGAGCGTTCGCCCTGGTGAGGAAGGCAATGGGTTCTGTCTCCAGGCCGGGACATACCAAAGTCCTTAAAAACGGTATATGCTATTCCCTACTTAGCCTTTCGCATTTAGAGGAGTAATGGATATAACTGGTTCACCCGTTTTCAGTATAATGTGACCGGGTGAAATGCTGTGGTGTGTGCCTTCGGTATGGTATTTCAGTGTGATATCACTATAAAATCGGCATCAGATCCGCACTATCACAAGGAGACAAAAACTCCAACATACCCTGTTTCCGGCATACAAACACATATGCACGCTTATGTGACGGGACAGCCTGTCTGGTGTTTCACAGTTTTAACTACATGTTTTTTACAGAAATATATAACTCCCACCATTAGGTAATGTCCATAATATGTGTATAGTATATCAAGTGTGACAGTAATGTTTAAAGTAATGATGTCATAAGTTGTATGGTATAGTGGTGTATGGTACTGTCATGTATGTAACATTGTCCATGTGTTCAGATGTCAACTGTCCCATGTGCTTCTGTGTATGTTTACCTGTCCTGTGACCTGTGACCTATGTAAAGTACCTGTTGGTCATGTGACTGCCACCTCAACTGTATCCCTCACCTGCATGCTTTCTACCTCTGTGTGCAAGAAACTGGCAGCCATGCTGGGTGTAACATTTTGATACCAGGATTTAGAAGAGAACCAGGTATGAATTGGGGTGTTGCATATGTTTTATAATAAGGAAATATTGTCCCATGGTTGTTTCAAAGAAGCTCCCTAACTTTTAATAACTTTATATCTCAAAATAAGCTTTATGGAGCCAATTACTTCAACCTGCCATTTTTAGCATTGGTCAACCTGTATAATGAATATTGGGAAAGTATTGGCTATGTTAGAGACCATTCTATTTTAAGTAATAAACTTAAATACCAATTAAACATTATGTTAACTAGCTATAGCCGTATAAATGATTATTATGACCCCATAGTAAAGGACCACTTATATTTTGGTCCAGGTGTGAAATGGAATTCTAGTAGACCTGTGTAGTGACCTGTGTAGTGCACAAGCACGGAGCTAGCCCCTGTCGGAATGATAGAGTAAGTTCACGTTTAATTAATGTTATGTAATTAACGATAAAATGTATTTCAGATATGGTATATTATTGATAGTATTTAATTAGTCAATTAAATAGGTCATAGAGCCACATAGTTTTACAAGTAATGCCACTATAATAATGGAATATGTGACGTAGCTAAATTATATAGTATTAATTGCCGTATAATTACAGATAATAAATATAATGAGTTTGATAGGTTTTATATTTTATAAATACATTGTATGTTGTATAATGTAATATTTCAGTGAAACATTGAGTCAGTCTCTTATACGTGTGTTATTGTGTCATTGTAGGGTGTTTTCTACGTTACGTCTTGTTTGTGCTACGGTTGCTGTTGTTTTAAATAAATGGTGGAAACAAAGTCCGTCGTAGTCTGTGATGATTCCCCAGATGGGAGATAAACCCCACCCCCACCACACTTACATAACACATATGGAGTCACGTCCTTTAATGATCTTAGCTGTTATTAGGACGTTTAACAAAATTAAACCAAAGTAAACCAAATCCAGGGAACATCTGTGTAAATGAGTCCTTTACAGAAAAGGGTGACGACATACCTACATACGAAGTCGATGGTTGCGCGCCATGTCATAAGTTCACTTAATATATCTGTTTTTCTTGTTTATTTCAGAAATGACGAACTATCTATAAGATGTTGCAGTTTAGAAATATAAAGAAACTAGTTATGTGTACCAGTGCCACATGAAAAATTCACAGAAAACACTTTAAAGTATTGCCTATCAGATATTATAATGTTAACGAGGTAAAAGTATAATATATTGCTTTTCGAAGTGAAAAAACTTTGTTCGTGCTTCATAAGTACATATATGTATGTACTTCAATATCATATTTTGAATAGTGTAACAACTATCTTGATTAATCAGATGATTTGCGTACAGCAAAAACGCCAAAAAGCTACTTTCTAGAAATTGAAATAAACAATTGTATACCTGTGCTTTTTTCATGAAACTTAGACCAAGCACTTATTCTGTGCTCGCACCAGCTTTCCTATGAATTGGGGGGAAATCAAATTCATTAGTCTCCAAATTATTTTCATATGTTTTCATGATCATTCTCAAAGTGGAAGAGATGAATGATTATCACTTGAACAGGAATTGAAGTTTGAACACAGAGTATTAGCATAAGGTGGTCTGATCCTAATCTAATATTAAGGTTGAGATCTGGTCTACCATCAACGGCTTGTGGAATAGTCACCAGGCAATCGCTTACATAAGCCCATCGGCAAAAAAGTACAATGTATACTTATATTTCTTATCTAGCATCCTTAGAAACAAAACGGCACATTCACAGCGATGATTAATTGTCATCAGTCAAATACAGTATAATTCTATGAGCATCATATTTCAAAACGAAACAAGACGTATCAAATGTACGTGTTAGATACCATACATCTCCCTTACATTGTGTTTTTTTATGTTTATTTTGACAAAACAAAACATTCGAATACTGCGTTATTTTACAAAAGTATGTTGAGTTTGCATCGACATCCGAAATAGATTCGTTTTGTCATGGACAAACACTATAAATCATTATGTCCTCATGTTTTGGTGTTCGTGTAAAAACTCCAGACATTTCTTGATAAGAGGAGGACGTACCACGAAACCTAGACGGTTGTTATCCCGGGCAAAGACACAGACTATATAAATTACTGCAACTTACTCTCGGGGGCGGTATACCAATAAACTACATCGTCAATCCGATATGGATAAATCATAATTTTAACAAGTATCAACGCTGAATAATAAAATGGTGAGAAAGCACGTATTTGATATATTCTAAGAGGGCCATTGAGCTGCTATATATATACTATATGAGTATATATCTTCAAGTTACATTACGAATACATAATAAGGTACGGTTATATGCTGGTATATCATAGTGTTACGTCTAACATTTCGTTTTTTATTATGTCTAAAAGATTACTGTGATCATATTGCTTTCAATGCGCTCAAATTTAACCGCATGATCATGATCTATAGGCGCACATACAGTCTATTCGATAGCAAAATATAAGTAAAAGATAATTATCAAAATATATACGTCAACATTATATCGATAATTATACATTTATGACAAGTTTTGAAAAAATACAGTCTAACCTTGATACGCTGCCTCTTGTTTCATTTGCGACCTCACATATCGCCAACATATATCAAAGTCCTTTTTACTCCTTTACTTAAGAAGTCCTTTTCACCTTTCCCTCAATTTATCCCGTTATAACGTCAACGTTTCTCTGGACAGATGGTGGCAGTATAATGAGGGTTAACTGTACATGGTTAAGTACGGTTTAGGCATCAGAACGTGTGCTGTTAAAGTTTCTGAACCATTAAATAACTATCCATCTGAGACTTCAATATTACGATCCATATAATGTAAGGATTAAGATTTTTACAAGGTTTGGATATCCTCTGCATTTCACATGAAAATGTCTCATATCAAAGTGTTTTGTACTGCTTAATGATTTAAGTGAAGCTCTTTGAAAACAATACAAACGAAATACAAAACATTCTGATACGACAATTAACTGACAATCTGAGCATTGTTAGAGTTTTCTGAATGGAAACTGGAAGACTAGGCCAAAGTGCGGATAAATGAATTATATCCATTGTATTGATCATTCGCTTGTAGTCATTCGCATTATTTCTTCTTTCTAACGTTTTCGTATTTTCATGATTAAGTGTGAAAGATTATTTGCATAGCTTTAAGGTAAAAAATAATACTTTAACAACGAAGTATGAAAAAGGAAGCATACACAAATTGATGGATCTACGCCCACTGATAAATGTACTTTACAATTGTATTGTGGAGTTATTGTTATGTAGTCTTAAAATTGAAAACTGCGTATTTCGCAGGCTTAATGTCCCTATTGTACATTTAACTACTTTCCACTCACTAGAAACCATTATAAATGTTTACTTGTTTCTTCGCCAGTAAACATGTATTAACGTGACGTTATTCCCTTTTAATATGTGACATTGCAAATATAAGCACCACGCCCACACGCGGAAAACATATATCAAGCCAACCAGTGTCTGAATCGTATAAGGATATGTGTATATATTACAGAGAATTAATATCTTCTCAGTGCAAGATTTCCATCTGAATAGCAATACTTAACAACGAACGTTCGTGTGAAATGTTTGACTGAAGACCAATATGCAAAATGTTCTGCATACGATGAAATATGACATACAAAACATATGCGTAACCTAGAATCGCTACCTACCAATGAAGATAATTATCGTGCCCCGATCTCAAACTCATGAAATCAACATCGGCAGCTTTGAACATGACACCTTCTCGACAATGGTCAACAGCCTGATAATGTCGACATGATCATAGGAACAAACCTTAATTCTCTTGATGATAAGGGTGTATGGACAGCAATGATTGGTTATACACTTTAATAAATACTGCACATATATTATATATACGACACAGCTCAATTACGACAGATAATTCATATTTTAAACTTTCTGATCAACATACAGTAATGTACATGATGGATTGTGTTTTTATGAACGGATGTAACATAACTAACGTAGGGAGGCATTTTGTGACTCGTGCCCTATATGTTTAAATATTGAATCTTACTTTGGCCGATCTTATGTGGGGATGAACTGAGATAGCCTTGAGACAAATTCAACATGATCTGCGAAGCAGACTAACACAATTTATTACCCCATAGAATCAACTAAAGCTAGAATCAATCCTTATACATGTACAGGTATTACAATTAACAAGTGTTTTGCATTAATTCGAACTTGTGAATTTTGATACATTTTGTCGCTGGCGATGTAATGACAGTTGATATTTCAATTCCACACTGGATGATATAATAAAATATAAAAACATATTATAAAAGTCATAATTATAATTGCATTTTATTAGTTCTTACGCACAGATAATATTTATCTGGTGGTTTCATTAATTCTTTCCGGATTAGATAAATAAATCGAAATATTATTATTTATGCAATACGTATTCATGAATATAGCTATACATTGCGTTCCAGGTATAGAGAGTACATCTTTAATATTAGATATACGGCACTTATTACAACGTGTGGTATTTTACAGGCAGACCTGTATAAATGTATATATATCCTCTCATACAAAGCTATGCCAATCCGAAGCTTATTTGTTATGGTCTTATATACACCAAAACTGTCAGAAGTCTGAAAAAAACCCAATTCATTTTAGTTATGCAACGATTATATTTATGTGTGTGTGTGTCCCAAGGAATTTGGCAACTCTGTACTTGTGCGTTTATATCTTTGATAAACATCGAAATGAAATTTGTTAAGTTAACTGAAATATCAGAAGGTATGCTAAAATTTTATTAAAACTATTTATAAAAATGATTACAACTTCATTGAATATTGATATCAATTTTATATATTTCAATTATCTTCTGCATGCATTTTAACCTATGCAAATGACATGACACCTATGGGATTGTATGGGAACAGGTGACGAATCATTTAATAATTTGGCACTATATATTCATACATTGACGATAAAACCCTGGGTATACATTTTTCGTTGTTCTTTAACGATTTACTTCCACCGCTAAAGAGTCGCTAAATTGAACAGATTAATTGTTTCTGTGTTTTAGAATTATATGATAATCGATACCTTAAGCCCGACATGACGTAGTGTTAACACCTGGGGTATCATCTGCTGTCTGACATATCAGTCAATATGATAGCTTACTACACGATAAATGTAATATTATTGTCATCCCCGTTCATACAAAGGTGAGTAATATTATCTAATCTGGTTTGCGATATGACCTTTTCTTATCAATATAGCACGTAGTCATATTACACAGGACTCCGAAAAATAGCAATATATATTTCAGCAATCAATATCACCCTTTGTCGAGGTTTGATACGTCAACAGGCGAAAGCTTGTCGTTAAATTTCGTCTGTCGAAGATTATTGCCCGTTGGTTTTAATATTAATGTTCATTATACCTACATTATATGTCAGTCTTTAACAGGAAAGGAATGTGGGATATGTACAAAATGCATAAGTTTGTAGATTTTTATATGAATATTAACATCAGTATAAATTTACGTAGTGTGTTGAATTATGACCTTTCATGGGAACGATGAATCTCAAGGTAGAGTAATTTAAAATGTGCTTACTTTGTATAAGTAAGATTTTCTGATTCGTTTATCTACAGAGTCCTCCTCTACAATGAGTTCATATCCTTATACAGCCGAACAGACATAGGATATGCCGAAGTCTAGCCTATATATAGAGGATCTGTCATAAGTTTCCCTTCATATTAGATTTATGAAACAAGTTTTAGATTTTTCTTGTTTGCGAGCCTCTGGCGAGCAAATATGAAAAATTCAAAACAATTATCATAAATCT